TCCCCAGCCAGCATGGCTAGCTGGGGAATTCTGGGAGTTGAAGTCCACATATCTTAAAGTGGCTAAGGTTGAGAAACACTGCTATATGGACTAGTGGCAGGGGTACATAAATCTACGTACTTTGTTGCCTCTTGACTCTGGCTTTTTCCTACTTGCCCCTAACCACAGCACAAACATGCCCTGGCAACATTTTCCCCACAGCTTTGTTTATATAACGTTGTCTTCACTTCATCCCTAACCCATTGGTGAGACAGGTTGAAGGCATTCTTAGGTGTACCTGTGCTAAAATAAGATATGGTCAAAAGACAGCCTCCAGATGCAAAGTCTTTTAGGATTTGTCACCCATTGTCTTGAAGTGAAGTTTGGACTGGCAGGAACATGAAACACAGGCAGGATTAGGATAGGCAATGGGGAAGAGCAGATTTCATGCCAGAACAATTTCCTGCTGACTCAAGGGTGGGTGGGGAGTACATCAAATTCATGGTGCCCAGTAGGGCTAGTAAAAGGGCTAACAAGCATCTAGCCTGCATTAAAAAGGTGTGAGTGTGCATCATTTTAAGTTGTGTGCTTGGCACGTCCTTCCTGGATCTGGGGCCCTCCAGCTATATTTGATTATAGCCCCCATCACTTGGAAGATACCCGCTTGAGGACTGCTGCTGTACAATTTGGTTCAGTGCCTCTGTAGCTGTTAGCAACTGAGGCCTCTCTTCTGAGAAAAAGGAAGATTTGGGAGCATTTTTTTTTCGTTATTATTTTTTAAAACTGGTATTCAGGAATGGGGGCCAGGGGTTGTACTGAAGAATGCATCAGGAGTTCCCCAGGCACTTGTAGCTGTCTGGTGGTGGCGGCGGCGATGGAAGATGGTGTGCATTTTTATTTTTTTGGATGTGGGAATGAATAAACTAGCAGCACCCAGGAAAGTGGCTGTAGGGGAGACAGAAATGAGATAAAAGGAAATTGTTGGTGGCAGTTTATGAATAAGTCATGGATGCATCAGGAGCCTCATTAGCAGAAGCTCCAGGGTGCAGGGAGAAGATTGTGCCTCCAAAGTATCATTGTGCCTTGCAGAATTAAGGCATTTTTAGCTCAGGTATAATGTGAACATGAGGAAAGAAGGGATATATAGGACTCTGAAGGCCTATGATGTAGAACCTGCCCTCTCTTAAATATGTATTGCATAGGCAGTGTGTAGTTGCCAGTCTTCCTCTTCATTCACAAAAGGACTGAAAACTTGTGCATTCCACTGAAGACTTATTTACTAGGAATATTCTCTTTCTGGATATGTTTTGATGAATCTTTCATTCCCATTTTTGTTCTTTCATCCCAGTGGCAGGTCATGTTTTCAGCTTGATGTTAGGTTGGATAGGAAAGGGATGGGGTACCCATACCTATCCCATGCAGGCTAGGTAGAGGATAGGAAAGGGAGCCCATCAAGCAGAGACCAAAGGATGGGATGAAGCATTCCAAACTACCCACCCATGTGCCCTCCTCCACCAGAGAAACAGCAGCTGTGGCTGCATTATGCTGATTAGCATGGACGCAAAGTTTCTTCTTGAATTTCCAGTATCCCCGACTGGAAATGTTGTTTGCTGGCTACTGTTATCAGGGAAACAACAACCTTGTTAGAAACACTGGGGGATGGAGGAAGGAGAAACTTCAAGGATTGTGCTAGACTAAAGAGGAAGCTAAGAGACTTTCGGCTGCGCCCTCTTCCCCAAAATGATTGGTTATCAACAGTGGCAATAAACTGATGGCAGGAGGAAGCAGTCGGTAAATAGTTACAGATACCTTTGGTGGGCCATGGAAAAGCTGTCAAGGGATACGTGCAGCTGGTAAGCCTTTCATCTGTGGTCTAAGGCAAGGAAGAAGTTCTTCAGGGCTGTTCCAAGTTTCACATGTCATGTCAAAATCCATAATCTAAGTGGGCTGGGCATGGCCTGTAGTTCTGGCAAGAAAGGGAGTTTGAATTCTAAGCAGAGTGAAGGCTGCCTTAAGTATCTGCAAGACTTAAGGTACCCATTCTGCTCCTTAACCTCCATTATGGCCAACC